ATTTCATTTTAGTCTTTTGTCTAAGATGTGCTGTAATGATTTTCTTTTTGTAACTTAACCCCAAGAGAAGGTGGGTTTGAACTTCAGTTAAGATTTTGATGATTCAAAGACTTTCGTTGTAATAGTTTAAATGATTTTAATTTAGCCATTACTTTGGTGTATTTATTAAGGAAAKGTTTCAATTTACGTAACATCTCTCTTGATGAAAATGAGGGTGTTACACCCACCAACATATAACCCTAATTTTATACCTCAAAAAGTGATCTATAATTTCCAACGATTCAATTTCATTACCCTATCTTAAATTCATCTTCCGTTTTAAGTCTCCAAGTCTTTACCTCTTCTTGGAACACTTTTTTGGGTTTCTAGTCATGGTTTAGATTTTAACTGAGTTTTCTGGACTAATTGGTTGGTTTCACTAAATGGATTTGGTCCCCTCCATTTTTGTTCCCGTTTGAGCTAATTTTTAAAGCTCAAATGTTGGTTTATCTTGGGCTTTTGTCGAATATCTAGGAAAGAATGTTCACGATTTTAGCGTAAAGGTGGGTGCATTTGAAATTTTTTGGTTGGAGTTGAAAGGATTGTTGAAGTTCTGGAAAAGGAAATGGGAAAATATTAAAAGTAAAAACGACAGGTGGTTGTAACTAATTGGATGTTAAAATGTATAAATTAAATAGTTAGTAACAAAAACCAAAATGTCAGCATTGTTTTTTAACATAATTAGTAGGAGGGACCTAGGACATAACAAAGTGCAAACTATCAGGACTTAAGGGTTGTTTGACAGTTGCTGAATGATTTGTACAGAATGATTAAAAGACTCTCACGATATAATACAAAATGAAATATAATTGTTTGGTAATTATTTACAATGAAATTAGGATGCTTAATGGTTAAGAGAAACCCATGATACAAAATCATTTAGTGAGTTTTAAAACCATTAAGAAGCAGACTTTTTTGTTGTCAAACAAGATTCACCTCTTAACGATTCAAAACCCGTCTCTTAATGAAACTATTAAGAGGTAAACAAACAACCCCTTAGCTCGTAAACAAACGACAACAACAGGATCAAATGCATAAATAATCAAATATAAGGACCATAAATTTTGTTAAAATACAGGGATCAAATCTGTAATTCACTCTTTTGATTTTTAATGCTACTTTCAATTTTTAATTGGGAACAAATTTTATTGTTTCTCAATAAATAAATAGAAAATCAAACGGACCCTTAGTTCTTCACAATGTTGACTTTTTACACACTTATCAAGGAAGTTGGTCTCTTTGTTAACATTTCTATCATTTTTAGTAAGTTACAATTTTCATGCTTGTGATATGTCAAATTTATTTGTTTTAGCCCCTAAACTTCACTTGCTATTAGTTTGTTTTTAAACGATGCATTTTTTACAAAATGGATCTCAAACGCATTCCCCCCCCCCCCTGTTAAATGTTATCATTTGCCCTTCATACGAGAGCATGCTGACCATTTTCTTCTTTCCCTATCTTTCTTTGTCACATCGATTAAATAACCCGTTAACCTCTCACTTAATGAAAACACTCATGCAGATTTCGTGCTTGTTCTTTAATGAATCTTTGTCTTTTTTGTGTCTTCATATGCTCTGTAATCTTTGACATGTTTTCTTAAAACATTTGGCCTATTTAGTTACTATTACACATTTATAAACATTAAAATTATCGTTGATGAATATGTATGTTCTACTTTTGTGAGTAGATGTCAGATCTGTATACATCTTATCTTTTTTGGACCTTACCTCTAAAAGGGATATATAAGATTTGATTTGGTTTAATCACTAATTGATTATAAGTAACAACCGACATCTTTAGGGTACTTGAATATGCCTTTCAAAGTAAGAGGTTGTTTGGCAGTTGCTGAATGGTTTGATGCAGAATGATTAAGTGGTCAGAATGATTAAGAGGCTCTCATGGTATAGTGCAAAATGAAATATAATTGTTTGGTAATTGTTTACAGTGAAATTAGGGCACTGAATGGTTAAGGGAGACTAAAAATACAAAATCATTCAGAGGGTATTAGAACCATTAAGAGGCAGACTTTTTTTTGCCAAACAAGATTCATCTCTTAACGATTCAGAGATTGCCTCTTAATGTAACTATTAAGAGGTAAACAAATAACCCCTAAATATTGTGACGGGAAAAGTGAAAATCAATTCGAACACCTTGGTAACAATTAAATACTAATCAAACTTGTTGGATTAATTTTACCTGTTTGGGAATAGTCAAGGGACCATTTTTGTAACTTACTTTAAACAAGATTTTATCCTTCCTAAAGAGACCCAAATCTCTCTTTCAAAAACCCTAACAAATAGACTTCCAATAGAACTTCGATCGCACTATAAACCTTAAAGAACCCAATTGCTTACTTCCAGTTTGACGAAAAATCTTCAATTCAAGTAAAGAAAATCCATCAATTTCATGCAAGAACTTGTATACATATACATATAAGCATTTCATATATATAGATATATATACATGTATATATATGCTCTTTTGATTGTGCTGATCACCGTTTGAAAACCTTTTTAAGTTTTTGTGTTCTTGTTTTTTATTTTGGGAAAATGTCGAATTCGGGTCGGAGCCGGGTCCCGAAGGACAGATTTTATAGCCCGCCGGCGATGAGAAGACACCATCAGCAGCAACAGCAGCAACAGCAGCAGGAGCAGCAAATAGAACCCACACAACTTGAAGAAAAGCAGGAGCAATCGGAGTCTTTGATGAGTAGTAGCAGAAGCAGGAATATTGCGATGACTAATTTGGACCGGTTCATGAAGCATACTACTCCAATTGTTACTGCCCAGCATTTCCCTAAGGTATTAGAAAATCTCAAATTGAGAAATCGCCGTTTCTTGTAGCATTGTTTGATGGTATGTTTTGTGCGTAATCGATAAAATGTGCATTTTCTGTATCTCAATCGACTATTTGAGTGCGAATCCGTCTAAACTCTACTCAAATCCAATGATTGTATTTCTTGGTGTTCTTTTGAACTGTTAATTAAGATATGGAGGATTCTTCCTTTGAAATTGGTTTGATATTTCATTTTTAGGGCTTAGGGCTTCTATCAATGTGTTTTTTAGCCCTAGTGAGACATCGCTTGTTCTCAAACCTATTTGATTCGGGCAAAAGATTGAAATAATGTTATTTATTACTTTTCCAGAGATCATTGTGGATTAAAAGACTTATAACTGATAAATCTGCGTGCTGTTTGATCCCCTTGAGTTTAATTTGAATTTTAAGAAGAAATGTAAGTTTCATAATGAAGAGGAAAATTATGTCGGGATCTAATTGGCGGTAGTAGCTTTCTTATTTGCATTTTGGATACAATGCTGTAAAATTTGATGATAATTATATTAGACAAAGATTTAGTTAAGCAAGAGTCCTCTTTTTCATGACTCTGCCTTCTGCACAATTTTTTTAATTGTTTGTCGGTGAGAAAGGCTACTGTGTTGGGCAATGATTTTATACATATATCATTTCATCAACCTGTTGTTTGCTAAAAAGGGCTATTGAATTGGGTCAGTATTGTATGAGGCAATCTGTTAAGCTGTTTCGAACCTTCAGTATGCATAGTTTCATGAAGCCAATTCTTGTCGGTGATTAATATAGTGTAATCGCGAAGACTTGAATTTCCTGGCTTAGACATTGACGTAGGTAAAGGAAAGGGTTCGTGAAGGTAAAGTTAGTGTGTAGTTGGACAGTTCAGATATGACCCACTTAGATGGAATCTTTAGCGTTCGTTTTTATGTATTCCTGCAAATTTCTCCAATACAGAATGAAGGCATTCCCTATACTTGAATTTAACCACATTTAGAAGAGGGGATTTTTATGCATCTGCATGGAGATTGATAACAAGTATTTAGTGATCATCATTTATGCCTCTGTGAATTGAAGATTAGGAGAGAAACCTGCATTCACGAATTGACTTTACAGTTTGTCAAACTTTATGACTAACCTCTTTGAGTAGTGAATTGAGAAGCTTTTTGATTGATACGCACTCATGATGTTTGTTTGCTACCTGAGTTGCATATCTCTGCAAAAAGTGTTTCAATCATGATATTGAATGATTGTTTCCTTTGTGTCTTTTAATTTGTTAAATGGTGTAAAAAAATTGTCTTAATTTGTTGTCATTTTTGGGATATATAGACTAGCATGAAGGGATGGAAGAAGCATGAAGATGATTATCACCCGTACTTCATACTTGGCGATCTTTGGGAATCCTTTAAGGAATGGAGTGCATATGGAGTTGGAGTTCCTCTAGTGTTAAATGAGCGAGACTGTGTTGTTCAATACTATGCACCATCCTTATCTGCCATTCAACTATATGTGGATCCATCAGCACCTACAATGAGCACAAGGTAAGCTTCTTTATTTACAACAATTTGAACACTCCTTTGTTTTTGAAAAGGTGACTGTGATGCATCCAGGCTCCTAGGTAGGGAAGTTTATGTACACGATCTTCCTCATGCATTTTGCATATCAGCTGTTTCCATGAATTAAACCCCGACCTTCCGGTCACATAGGCTCCGATGCTAGGTAGAGAAGTTTATATAGGTATCTTATTCGCCTTCTTTGAATTTATTTGATTCATATGTGATTAGAATCAATCCCGAGTAACTTATATCATGAACTTTTAATGCATGTTTATCCATACCTTATGTATTGGCATTGTCTTCAGTGTTGAACATAGTATCGCATGTTGTAAAACAGACACAGGGTTTGAAATTTCCAGCATATAGTGCTCATTTTTTTCAATGCTTTCTCCTTTTGTCTATGTGCATGCCCCAGTTGTTTGATCACTGTAATGTCGGGAAGAGATTCTATATGGAGTGTAGTTTGTGCATAACAGTGCTGTAAGTTCATGATCGAATAGCGAATCACTATATAATTTCATGAATCGTCAATCCTGAATTGATTTGAATTGCAAATTCACCTCAATTTTTAATAAGAGAGCCACAATCATGCACAAAATTTGAGTACTGTCTACAAACTTTTATGCAGGGACTGCTAATATAATCTTTTTCCATATATTAAAGCACAAAAGGTAAACATTCTTTTAAGGTCTAAAGACTCTAAATAAATTATACTTAAATAAGAACATTGTCACTTAATCTTTCTTTACAACATTAACAAATACCATTAAACTAATATTTCTATCAATGTGTTTCCTATTACGTTTTGGATCAATAACCTATGCTCATAAATCAACAACAATAACACAAATAAGGTAAGATATCATGGATGTATTTTAGAAATTTATAGTATGGGTCAGTTTGCTTATACCAAGGGTGATTGACGATATGATGATAAATCAACATGCCTTTGGTTCACAAATGTGGTTCGCATTGTTTGCTTTTCAAATCAGATCAAATCTTAAGATTGAAATTGCAAGTCACAGGATTCAGACCATGAGTCCTTGATGATGGTGGTACTCATTTCATTGAATAGTGCTGTACTGTAATGACTGCTGTTGGGAGTATGTTAATTACACTTGATTGTATTATTATTATTATTATTATTTACAACCGGGAAGCGTAGGTAGAACTTGTGGAAGGAAGACACTGGCGAGTAAGACCTGTGAGAGCCCCCCATCAAAGGTCGATATCTTACCTTTAAAAGCGGGTATAAGAATTGGAAGTCGGGATATCCCAATCTTCCAGCTTTCAAGCAGTTCAGAAGAGGGTGAGTTCATAGGTGGTTTAAGTCGAGTGTAGCAAAGGGAATGGAATGAACTGCATGAGGCTGAAAAGCCGTAGTGCACTAGCACTAGCGAGTTAGCACAACAACTTGCTGTCTTGTTTTCTTTGCTGCTTCTTTGTTTTTTTTACAAAAGATTAAACGAAAGCGGTTGCTAATGCTTGTAGCTTGCTTCTGTCCTTAGATTATTATTATTATTATTAAGGAATCACTATTTCTCTCTGCAAGTGTATCCTGTTGAGACTTCTGATTGTCCATTCAACTTGATGATACGTGCTATACAAGTTGCTCATTAACAACCCATGTGAATCATGAAAGAGTTTGGGGGTTTGATAACCCTTTATATGGATGGGATAGGGTTCAATGATTGTTGAAACCTTGATAATCCATATTCTAGTTGTTCTGTGGTTGATTTGTTGCAAAGTTTCTTCAATACTTAGTGAGAGATTTTAAGAGCGTAAATTAAACCATTGGACCACATAAATCAAAAGTGTAACTTTTCTCGTGCAACTATTTTATGTTTGATTCTCGTTATGGTATTTTCTTAGAAAGTTTGGCTAGATAAAAAAAAGAGGTACTATTTGCAAGGTTTTGTCATGATCTGGCTTATCACATGGTGGCCTTTTAGTTTATTTGGTTTTATTTGCAAAGTACTGTGGCGTTATGGTTTAACACATGGTGACCTTTTAATTATTAGTCATAATAAGGTCTTGTTCATTTATGGATCATATTAACTTGATGTGATCAGAAAAAAGATGAATGATACTGATTTTTCATCCTCTTTTTACATAATCTTTATACTTTGGGTCAAGTAACACACCACATGCATGAGAACTGCAAAATGAAAGTATAAAATGGGTGGAGTTAATAGGACCTTAATTGTATGAAATTCCCATAATTAAAACAAGGCGGTCCTATAGGGAGTTGTCTAACATGATGATTTATGAGTTTCTTGATTTTATGTACAGACGGCCGGGTGAGGATAGTGACTATGAGTCATCTAGAGCAACTAGCAGTGATGGCAGCTATGAAGCAGGTGCAGCCATCATCCATGGACCAAGGGCCACAAAAAACATCGATTATGTTGCCAAGAGCTTCAATAAACTCATGCTTAGAGATGATTTTGTGGGATGTGATTCTGATGAAGGCGAGATAAGAAACCCTCCAGGCCTTCTGATCTATGAATATTTTGAACGCACTTCACCGTTTCAGCGTCCTCCTTTGGCGAACACGGCAAGTAAATTCTATTTTGTTACTAGTTATACCCACCCCCCCCCCACCCGAAAAAAACCCTTGCTTTTGTGGGATGTTTTCTAATTAGAATCACCATTTTGCCATTATCATCCTTTAATGACGGTACTGGATTTAGGTGCATAGTGGTTATCAGGGATATATCTGTATCTACTTCTGGTAAATTGGATGGTTAGGTGGATGCAAATATGGACATGATACATTGATTTGTGTCCAATACGTTTACACTCCTAAAGCATATACTTCATATTAACTCAACTCAATAGTTATCATTCAACTTACTGGCTTGTAATTAAGATACATGTTTTCATTACAGATATCAGATCTTGAAACCAAGTTTCCGGAACTGAAAACATACAGGAGCTGTGATCTGACTCAGTCAAGCTGGCTTTCCGTGGCTTGGTAAGCTTCAACACAAAATACTCCCTGTCCTATGAACTTTTCCTTTTTCTGATTATTTTTCAATCTGAAATTACTTATTTGCTCATTAACATCGTTACGAAGAACTGGTGATATTGATTATGGTCCGCAAGATCTTTTTCATTGTTGTTGTTGATGGGCCGTTAAAACATTTGGTTAATAGTTGAACACTTCCCTTAAGTTATTTATTTGATCAAACATTGCAGTTTGGACAAATGGGATAAATATTCAAGGGTGAGCCTGCAAATGGCAACATTATATCTTTTGGACATTTTAATCCAAAATGAGTTGCCCATTTTGCAAGATGATTGATGATATTGCCACCAAGGTCTCCTGTTTTAGCTGTATGATTTGATCCCAGTTGTGCTTTTTTTGTAGGTATCCCATTTACAGAATACCTGTCGGTCCATCTCTCCAAAATGTCGATACAAGTTTCTTGACTTTCCATTCGTTGTCAACACCGTTAAGAAGTAAATCCCTCTTTTACCCTCCTCCCTACCTGATGAGTTCATTTGTGCAGTTTGTGTGAATCGATGGTGAAATGGTATCCAGGTACAGATGGGGATTGGGTGCACCCTCATGGGTCTACTGCTAGGGAGGTTCATGAAGCCAGAATGCCATGTCGGCTATCGTTACCAATCTTTGGTCTGGCAGTCTATAAGTTCAAGAATTCTGATTGGACCAAAGATGGAGTTCATGGAAATGAAAAAATCAGCTCCCTCATACACTCAGCTGACAATTGGCTCCGGAGAATGGATGTTCATCACCCAGATTACGTGTTTTTCAAAAATCACTAGCTACTGGCGGTGTAAGAATCTGCTCTGAAACCTCTTGACAGAAAAGGTTTAAACTGACTAGGAGAGTCCAGATTTGGATTATGCAAATCGATATAGTAGTTTTTTTTTCTTCCTTTCGTTAAGGTTTCGTTAAACGATGAAACTTTTGTATGATGGGGCTTGCTTCTGTTCTACAACGATGATGACGACGATTTGCTAGTTCTATAGCTTTGTACAAACCTGATCAGCAGCATGTGTAACTAAAATAGAAACTAATTTTGGCATAGTTTTCTGGTTTCTATCATTGATCTCATTTTTTTTCCTTTAGAGCTACAATGGACAGCTCAATAGTTTTGCTTTTGATATAAGCAAATATGGTCTGTAGTTGGTATTTTTTTTTGTTCTATGGGAACCTTGTTACCTGAATCTTCGGTTTTGCTGATCTATGCAAGTCCCTTTAGAGTGTCACATGACCTCTGAAGTTTTGGACATGTAGAATTAGGGTAGCTGACTATATGTAGGGGACTTGGGGCGTGGTCGAAAATGTAGGTGGTGAGTTGATCGATAGGATATTACAGACTTAAGTTAGATAGATGGTTGTTTAGTTTGTAGTATCAGTCCTATATGTTTCTATGGTGACTTGTGGAACTTGCTTTCTAATATTTAGGAAAAAATTTGATTACCGGCAACCCCAATCGGTCCCACATGGAACTGGCCTTAAGGATAGAAATGTAAGAGGGGAGGGGGGAGGGTTTGGTTCATTTAGCAGAGGCTAGTGGGGGACCTGTCTTGTATTTGTGCAAAGTCGTCCGTCTCTTTATCAAATGAGCTACACGCTGAAGGGCTAGACCGATGAGGACGTGGGATGAGCAGTTCAGCGGTATATGGAGGCTTGAAAGGGGGGGGGGGGGGTGGTCTTGTGTCAGATATAAGGAGTTTCATTGGTGTGCTTGGGCTCTTCACATTTGTTTATAACCATGTTGGTTATATGTGTTCTATCATTGTGATTTCAATATATGTTTCTTTCTTTTAAAATATAAATCAGGGTTCTTTTCAGAAACAACTTCATTGTCTCACAAGATAGTGGTAAGGTTTATATACATCTTTCTTCTAGACGTTATCTCCAAGTGGGAATTGGGATATATAAAGTTTGTTTAGTTTAATGGTAGTCTTGTTTTTCAAAAGCTCATTGTATTTTACCTTTTTGGTCTCCAAGTCCACCACACTTTTAATTTCCTTCTAAGCTTTTTGAAGCATCCAATTCTTCACCAAAATCCTTTTGAAAACATTTTCTTGAAACTCTAGTTTTTATAGAAATAACTACTCTTGTTTTTTAAGTAGATGTTATGTTTGTGATATTTTCATCCCTCAGAACTTTTACTTAGGAGCCGTTTATCAAACACTTACCCAGTAAGCGCTTACTAGTAAAATTTAACACTATCAATTACAAGTAAAGCCGTTTACCAAACACTTACCTAGTAAGCGCTTACTAGTAAAATTTAACACTATCAATTACCTACCGGGTAAGATTTTAATCCACCAAAACGATATCGTATGCAACAATTTACTCGATAAGTGCTTACCATGGTAAGACCGTAAGAGTCGTCGCCCTCATTTACCGGGTAAGACTCTTGGTTCTTGTTTCGCTTTTACCGGGTAAGATTCTTGGTTCTTATTATATTCATTCGATAAGGTAATAAGACTTGGTATGAGCTTACTCGGGTAAGCGTTTGGTAAACGAACCCTTGGTGGGAAACATAATACATGAAGGAAGCAACATGAACAAGTTTGCAGATAATGATTAAAGAGCATATTTATATATATAATACAATACGAGGTCTTAACGATTCCTCTGTTCGGTTCTCCCTAAAATAAATTGGTTTATAAAGCATCATCGAAGAAAGTAGAAAACAGTAGGCCTTGAACAAACTCACTTCGTCGAACCTTCTCTTCTTGATCCTTGTCTGAAAGCTTTTGCTTTTGGTTGCTCCTAAAATCATAAACAAATACACCAAACAAACTTAGGGGCCGTTTACCAAATACTTACCTGGTAAGTGCTTACCGGTAAAATTTAACACTATTATTTACTTACCGGGTAAGATTTTAATCCACCAAAACGACATCGTATGCAACAATTTACCCGGTAAGCGCTTACCATGGTAAGAGTCGTCGCCCTCACTTGCCGGGTAAGACTCTTGGTCCTTGTCTCGCTCTTACCGGGTAAGATTATTGGTCTTTACCATATTCATGCAGTAAGGTAATGTTACTTGGTAAGCACTTACTTGGATAAACGTTTGGTAAACGGCCCCTTAGTAAAATTCACATGGAATAGGATCTGGCATGGACCGTGCCATCATCGTAGGGTGTCATCATAATGTTTCATTATGTACCCATATATTTCTTAAAACTAAAGTTATGATAGAAGTTTTAGGTTAAAGTATCGGGTCAAATGGTACCATCATCTGGAAAAAAAAATTGGGTCCACCTCTGATAGGATAAAATGTAACCAGATCTTGACATCTATGGTGCCGTTTACCAAACGCTTAAGAGTCACCACTCTCATTTACCTTATGAGGTAACATTCTTAGCCCTAAAAATAGATTAATGGTAAGTGTTCATAACTTTTTTTTTATTAACCCGTTATGCGAGCCGACTAATCCCAGGGCGACCACCTGCTTCGCAGTTAGCCCGGAGTCACCGCATTTGAACCTCCGTGGCCACAAGGGGATTTTATTCCTCCTTAGATTTGAACCTGGAACCTCCTTGTACTTTTGACCTTTGGAGCCAAACTCAAACCAATCAGGTACCACCCTTGTGGTTAACTTGGTAATCACTAACCGGGTAAGAGTTGTCACCCTCACTTGCCGGGTAAGATTCTCTGACCCAATAAGGTAATTGAATAAGTAAACGCTTACCAAGGTAAGTGCTTAGTAAACGGCCCCTAACCTCTAGGAGCAGAGAGGTTGTTTCCGATATCATAAACAAAAAAACCATCAATATATATGTGTTTACCTTTGGGACAAATCCTTATCGGTGCTGTCTACGAATGACTTCGAGTTAGCAACAGCAGGAGGTTGAGTGGTCGGTGGTTGGTCAAGTGCTATGGAGGGTGTATTGGAAATGAAAGAAGATAACCATGGTTCAGGCTCCACATTGTTGGATGGTTGAACCAAGGAGGAAGACCCTCCAACAAGAGATTGTTCTCGCAACTCTTTCTTTAGAATCGAAATGGCTCCACCACCTCTATGGAATCTCCTCTTGCGTTGTTGAACGTGATCAATTTCTAGTCAAGGATAAACTTATAATCCCTCAACAACTTGTCAAACTACTCAAGAGTGCAAACGTTGGTTAAAAACAAATGAGATCCGGGATGCTATAATAATGAAATGACTTGAATACATTATAAAGGATATCTTTAGGAGACTCGCATGTTGCATCGTAATATGGCTGATTAAATCCATCCCAACCCTTTTAACGCACACCGGGCATATCTGCATTTACAGTATCAAAAATAAAGTTAACAAGACCCCTTTTATGAAGCTAAACACTACCACAGATGAAGACAGGAATGGACCAGCGAGAGTGAGTAGACATTGTGGAAGGTTTTAAGGTTTCAATGGGTAGTTTCGTAATTTATGTATATTGTCCCTGATTTTTGTTCCACTTGGACAAAAATATGCAATTTTGTCCCACACAGTTCTTTTCCATCCTATCCCGCATACCAAATGCACACGAAAAGAACTCCTTAGGGATGTTACTAATTTACATTTTTATGGGCAGGGTATGTATAAAAAGTATGCTAAATAATGGCAAATGATACTAATAGCCTTAAGAGATTTAATGAAAAAGAATTGATACCCCATTCTTTGCTTCAACCGTATGCTCTTCATCAATATGACAACAAAGACCAACGATGTCGAAATCCTCTGCACAGAATGGGCACAGAAACTCAGGCCTCGCCTCCTCATCACTCTCAAATTCTTCCACCAGATGAAATGCTTCTGTAAATGAAAATGAAACCAAAACAAATTATAAGGCATCGAACTATTATCTGAAGCCAACTCCTTTGCATGAGGATGCATGCTCTGTAGAAGTATATGTGAATAATTGGTATAAAGGTAGGTAAGCAAATGTGGGTTCACATATGCATCTCCATATGTGAATAATTGGTATGACGGTAGGTAAGCAAAATTGAGTTCACAAATAAATCTTCAAATGGAATTTTTTAGGTTTATCAATGATTCGCATATGAATCATTTATTCTTTTGTTCTCAACCTTTTTTACCTTTCCTATTAGAACCTTTGCCTACATGTGTATCTATATAATGTGTACACACACATATATATACAAAATACATACATATATATACACATTGCATAGACATATATGTGTTCGTATACATTATGATCATGGGGAAGTATGATGAGTTGAGACTACATTTTTAGTGCTTGTCCATATCAAATTTGATTTCAAATTTTCCATAGTAGTTCATAGACTAAGTGAAGAATAGGTTCATCAACTTTTCTCACAAGGGCACAATAATATACAATCTATATACAAAAGGGTCTTTGGTTGGTTATTGATAGATTCCAACCTCCTTAGAGGTCAAGGGTTCAAGCCTCATAAAGTGTGGGAAGTTTGTGTGAGTTTTGTTGTATATAAATATTGTATACTTAAAATAATACAACCTTTACAGGTAACAAATTCATTCAATTCTAATTCATGACCAATGTGAGACAAGATGTCACAATCTCCTCACTTAAACTCCTAACGTCCTTATAAACCTTACTTTTATCAGACTGGAAGCACGAGTTCAATCACTGCACCACAAGGGATCACTGATTTATACTATTTATAATGCCTCGAGCCCAATGTAGCCAGCAAACTAACCTAGTAACCTCCATGTAAGCTAATACCATGATGCAAAGTTATTAGTAGCTCACAACTTTAAGCTTTTTCACGCATGTGTATGACAAAATGTCAAATACACATTCATGAGAATCTTCAACTTATGAAACTCCATCGCACATTATGAATTCATGGTCTTCTCGTCATTCCAATGTACAACATTAATCCAATCATCCCTAGAGTCTTTAAAGTTCCCCTTTTTGAAACCGGAAAAAGAACTCGGACACTTGTTACTCTAACTAGATTCAAACTCGCAACCTAAATGTTGTGAAGCCTCATTTGCCCATTTGGTTCCTAATTGGTACCACTGGGAGAAAGGGAATATTTAGCACAAGGGTTCTTTCAAAGCTTTTTAGTCCTATCATGTTTCATAGAGTTTCTATTCCAAAAACAAATAACTAACAGTATATTCTAATAGCACTGAGGAATTAGTTATTGTTCTATTATCAATATTCATAGAGAAAATATCACTCAGAATTCTAAGGAAATGAAAGGGCATGCCTGAAATATCACTCAGAATTCCATAAAGTAAATCTTTCTGGTAAAAAAAATCTGAAAAATATAAGCTGAAGAAGAACTAACTAAAGGCTCACTGAAGGTTGATTTGTAATTCACTATACATAAATATATCGGTTCATTTTGTGTTCATATTCATAGTGAAAATACCAAACGTGCTAATTAAGTGCAAAAAAACTCAAATTTTCCAACGACAGAAAAGTCGTATTCCTGAAATTAAATCGGTTTTCCTAAATAATTTATGAAATAAAAACCAATTTTGAACCTGATCGAGATTGGTAGCGCCTTGAAGAAGAATTAGATGTAGAGAGACGAGTCCATGAATCTGAATCCATTTTTCTCGATCCCTGAAATAAACTCCAAATTCAACCTGAAAAAGGAATGATGCCCAAATCTGTATGCAGAAAAAAACCCTTGTAAAATGATATGAGAAACCGTGTGTTGATTTAGATTTATGTATGTATATGTGTTTTTATAGCTTTTTCAGATTCAGAAAGTGAGGTAGTTTCTATGAAAGAAGAGAAAGGAGAGAGAAAAAGACGACAGAGGAACTCTCCACCAAACTCCCAGCAAATGGGTAAATACTGTATGAATAAATACATAACAAAGTCTATGTTACACTATTAACCCTTTATCTATTAAGATATTCATGTTTGGCCCTTAATACTTTTGTTTTCTTAACATGAGTCCAATGAAACTAGGGTGAGCAGTGGAACCAGGTACCCATTTGCGGAACCGGAACTGCCTTGGAACTGTCGGTTTCGAAACCGGAACCGATATGAGTGGTTCCGGTTTCGGTTCCTAAAATACGGAACCGATTGAGAATGATTTCGGTTTCGGTTCTCAATTTTTCGGAACCGTTACCCGCTGGGACCGGTTCCGAGACCGGGTACCCGGTATTTTTCAATTAAAAAATAATTAATTTTTTTAAATACTAGATTAAGTTAGGTCAAGAACTTAGAACTCTAGATTCAAAATTTAAGATAAAATGATCCGTATTTTTTCAATTTGTGTGTTTAATTGGATTCGTAGTATGTAATCGTTAAACTTTGAACCTTTACAATTATAGTATGTAACCGTTAAACTTTTAACATTTACTATTAGTCTATTATGGTTTGTAATCGTTAAACAATATTTGTAACCATTATTCCGTATAATTTGTATTCTTGTTTATTTATTAGTGTTTTGACAATGTTTTATTTTCTATTTCTAAATAACAAAATTTTAATATTTTAGGAAGCGGGTACCCGGAACCAGAACCGGTTCCCGGCGGTTCCGGTTCCGGTTCCAAAAATTCAAGAACCACTCTAACCGGTTCCGGTTCCAATATCTCAAGAACCGCCGATTCCAGTTCCTGTTTCTATCAAATAGGGCGGGTACCCGTCTATGCTCACCCCTAAATGAAACACTGTATTAGAACTAAGCCATTAGTTGAACTGAAGATTTTAATAGTCAAATACGGTTATTATTCCATTTATAAGCTAATTATCACACCAGTATGTGGTATGGATCAAAGTTCGGGGGACAAGAAGACTCATGAAAGGAAGTTGGAAGTTGTAGAAATAAGGATGTTAAGATGGAAATATGGTTGGACCATGTTTGATAAGGTTTCGGACGACGTCTCCCAAGCTGAGAGGGAGTTGGACCCATCGCAAGGAAGTTGCGAAATGAAGAATGTGGTGGTCTGGACATGTTCGTAGACGCGACAAGGAGGGTAGAAAGCATCACGGTCGAGGGGGCAAGGAAAATGGCAGGTCGAAGGGGACATGGAGTGAAAAACTAAGGATCGAGTATGACTTTGTGGAAGCCTTAGGCATTACTGAGGACATGACTCTGGTATGAGTTCGTGGAGATGAATATTAGGATAGCAAACTAACTCGTGTAATTTGTAGGATGGGATTGTGCACAGTATGAAAGATCTTTTAGATGCACATATCCCTCCGGGAGGGCGATTGAGACGTGGGCATAAGGGCCTTGGATAGGATAAGCAGAAGGAATGGTGCTCAAGAGATAGCAGGTAGGAGTAGGTAAGAAGTCGTAGGCGACTAAAAACCCTAGAATAGACTGTGGATTGGTTTGATGTCTTCATTCGTTATGTTCCTTTCTACCTGGCTATATTTATGTGTTCATTTGGTACATCTTACATCTCCCTTGAGTAGTTCTCTTATCTTAATCTGTTTCCAGCCTTAATATTTGTTTTTTTTTTCTTATGTTGCTCTTTTTTTATATCTTCATCCTTTTCTGGGTACCTTTCTTTTTGTACATTTTTTAGAAACTTAATGTCTGTCATAAAAACACCTATTCTATTATTTGAGGATAGGGGATAAGGTCTGTGTACAAAACATATTTATAATCTAGTACTTAATCCAACAAGTTAAACAAATCAATAACAAATAAATGATGATTTTTAGAACAAATTCTTAGAAATCTAGAAAATGCATATACTATTGTTAGTATTCAAGAAAAACCATTGGTAATAAAAATGACAAAAATTAAATTCAAATTGGTTAGTGTAATTTACTTGGTTGTCAAAAACAAACAACCATGATGTTTACATAATTACAAAAGTACCCATGGTTTATTGAAAATCGAGTCAAACATGAATAAGAAATTTTTCCATGAAACGATTGCACCTTTTATAACAATACGGTTACATCTTTTATGAATTTAATTTTTTTTTTTGTCTTATAACAGAGGGATTTACCGGTGGCACGGGCCACCATAAGCCCTTAATCGGGTCCGTCCATGAGTAGATTATGGTTTTTATCCCTGTGGTTGGTTAAATTATGATTTTCGTCCCTGTAGTTTAAAATTTACGATTTTCGTTCTTATTGTTTGCAATTCTTTGCTATTTTCAATTTTAAGCCTAACTTCTACCTTTATATACAAAGAACAAAAAAACAAAGAATTGTAAACCACACGGACCAAAACAACAATATATTATCAATTATAAAGACGAAAATAACAATGAATTGTAAACTATAAAGACAAAAATTGCAATTTCTAGACCATAGAGACGAAAATCATAATTTTTTCTAAACCATAAGGACGAATTTCGTAATTTACTCTTATAATACCCCTATCCTCATATCATAACTTTTGACAAAATCATAATGTTTTGCCATTGTTTTACCCGTAAACATTTGTAAAAGTAATAATTGCAAAAGAAATGGTTATACAAAAGCCACATTTACTGACTTGACTTTACACAAACAACTATTTACACGGTATGATGCTACATTCATTATCACCAAAAAAAACCTTCACCAAACTAGATTAATTTTCCAAAAGTTTCAAGTGTCACGTCATTCAACGAGCTTACCTGCTAGCCTTATAATAACCAAAATGTTTGCTGGCAAAACCCTTGAACCAAATCCTGAAATGCACGTCGAACAAAACAAATTAGACTACATGCTTGGTGACATGTCAAACACGTGTTAACTTCATCCAAAACTATATAAGTTTGCGATCAATCATATCTACAAAGTTATATTAATGTCACACAGTGTGGGTGTGGTCCATAACAACCGAAATTACTGGAGGAGCACTATCCAACAGTCCACTTATCCATTAGGCTAATTGGTATAATCACCATTGCGCAATGTGTCACCTGACACTGTGTCCACTTGACACTATACCTATTAGTCGAGTATCTGGTACATATCCGCGCACGGTACTCCAATCCATCACTGATGGGAGCAACTCATCTAACTGTAAATGGAACGACCCAGATACAAATGCAACAAAGGAGGTGACCCTAAGTCGCCAGATCTGGATCTATCATATCCATAGCAGTAAGTAAATAAAGAACTTACAAATGCCCCATTTATACAAAGTAATGATTCTCTTCTTTTAGTTACAAAGTGTGCTTGTTTAACATGTCATATTTTCAATTCACCAAAGTTTTTCCACATACTTTACCAAAGAAACAGTGCATGCTTAATATGTATAAATTCACTATGTATAAAATATTAATACTCTTCTTTCATAACATCATTTTAAATCATGTAGTTTCCACTTTAAGCACCAAAACACGTCCGATAAAGATAAATCATGTAAAAGTAACTGCGTTTGACGTGCACCTCATTAAAGTCTACTTGTAATTCACCTTAATATATTTAGTTGAGATCCCACCGGTACCCAACTTGTTTATCTGTTGTGCTACCTAAACAATCCTTATGCTACCTAAAACAATCCACATATGATTTTCACATCTGTAACAACCCAAGATCACATTTCCATATAAACATGTATCTACATATATCAAGAAATATAATTTACACATCTGGTACCAATATCTACAGAGCTACATTACAAAGTAGCTACCAAAATTTCCCACAAAATCCCTATATATATAACAAGTATTCAAATACAAAAGATAACATGTTATCCCAACATCCCATGCAAGCATATATGACTCTTCACAATTTCCTTTTTCCCTTATCATCTGGTTGTGCCCAACCCTATAATGCACATATTCAGAACACCAAAATGAGGGTTGGACTTTAAGGTCTAGTAAGAAATCCTTTTGTTTGTTATTCCAGGGTGAATAATCACCAAAACGCTTTTATAAATCCATATTTGTATAAATAACAAATATACAACATTTTAATAAAACAAACCTCTTTTGTCGCATCAAAATGATGAGACATTATCCAATTATTGCATCAAATACTCCAACAACTCATTTATCACATTATATAGATAAAAACATAAATTCTTCGCATCACATGGGTGAGACAACCCCATTTCCTCGCAACACATTGGTGCGAGGACCCCATCTCATCGCATCACACTGGTGCGATAAACCAACTTGTCGCATCAATAGGATGCGATAAGTTCATCTTGTCACATAAACTTATTCCTCGCATCACATGGATGTGACAAAATCCATTCATTGCATCAATAGGATGNCATCAATAGGATGCGATAAGTTCATCTTGTCACATAAACTTATTCCTCGCATCACATGGATGTGACAAAATCCATTCATTGCATCAATAGGATGCAATAACTTAAGTCATCGCATTACACAAATGCAACAACTCAAAAACATCACATCATAAGGATGCGACAACAGTCACCAGATTGATCAAAAACCCAATTTTACATTCCATTGATATGACACTCTTATTATGTTATCTCTCCTTGATATGCCACCCTTATAACCAAAGTACATCTTTTCTTGATATATCACCCTTATAACCAAAATATACCTCTCCTTGATATGTCACCCTTATTCCATTCACTTGATATAAACATATCAAAATACCACAATTATGCTAATCATAACATCAAAAATAGTTTTATATCACCCCCATGTAAGAAACTCTATGGTTCCAATTTCAACCAAATAAGATGAACGCTATATAAATAAAATCACTTTATGATCACAAGACATGAAGATATGAAGATGAACAACAACAAATAACCAGAACACGAATCACATAAAACTGCTTGTTTTTCCCTCTTTACGGTTTCTGTTTTGCTTTGCCCACTAAAGAACACACAAAAGTTTTCTTTCACCTTTTTACTTCTCAATTACTATCCCAATGAGAAAATT